AAGGCCACGAATCTAGACGCATCTAACATTGTGTTTTGGAACATTGTTTTCATCTAATCCGAAATGTAATATTAATGTTACAGGCGACTTCGTGCACGTCAGCTCATTTTTTTAAATACTTAACACAAACAATGAATATTGTTTGTTTTGAATTTCGCGCAAAGCTACATGAGGGCTATCTGTGCTCTGCCCACCACGGGTATCGAAACCCGGTTTCTAGCGTTGTAAGTTCGCAGACATACCGCTATCTTAACTTCAAGCGATTCCAACTTCATAACTGATAAAAAATCTCGAACTCTGTAAAACTATGTACTGGAGATTAACCATTGGAATTCTTTACTACCGTCAAAAGGCTTATCATGTAAATATAAGGGGTAGAAAAATATCATTAATTTGTATATTATTATATAATAAATAAATTAGAGTTTACTAACTATTTCAGTTTCCTTAACCAAATCCGTACACTGGGATTTGGTTTAGGTGAAAAACGAATGCAAATATACATTTTCGATTCTGTAAGTTTGGTTTAATAACACGGAAATACGTTCTTCCATAAAAAAGGCCCCTCAGTGGTTCAGCGATAAGGTTTGGTTTGTTATAAATTTTGCGCAAAGCTACACGAGGGCTATCTGCGCTAGCCGTCCCTAATTTAGCAGTGTAAGACTAGAGGGAAGGCAGCTAGTCATCACCACCCACCGCCAACTCTTGGGCTACTCTTTTACCAACGAGTAGTGGGTTTGACCGTCACATTATAACGCCCCCACGGTTGAAAGGGCGAGCATGTTTGGTGGGACAGGGAATTGAACCCGCGACCCTCAGACTGGGAGTCGAGCGCCTTAACCACCTGGCCATGCCGGGCAATTTCAGCGATAAGTCCGAGGGCTTATAACCAGAAATCGGGTTGCGATACTCGCGATTAGCACAGCACAGGTAGTTCATTGTGTAGCTCTCTGCTTAACAACCACAATACAAACAATAAAACTTCTATACAAAAGATAACTTAATGTAAGAAATGCACGTTTTAAATTGAAATTTCTTAGCGTTGGGGGTTTGTCATGCAACATACTGTAAATGTGCAGATGTACTGAGAAGTGTAGTCAACCATGTAAATATACTTCAGAGTGTAATTTGAAATTCACTTCTTTAAATACGAAGGTTTCAATTCACTTTAAGAAACGCAAAATTTTACTTAAAATATAATAATATTATAACGCCATTTTTATCCCTAATTATTTTCCAATTTCCACTTTTACCAAACCTTATATTATTACAAGCTGAGGTACCCGTCCTTTGGCCGGGTTATGAACTTAAAAAATAAATAAATGCAGGGGTGGATGCTATGAGAAATAACATAAAAACCATACCTCTCACACACTTTATTTATAACATAACATATTATTACACTATTCATTATTACCTAACCAAAAGTTATGTATAAGTTTTAAGGACTCAATATGTATGTACTTAAAACATGATATACACTGTGCGATGGTCAAGGTGACTTTGTAGGAAGAGGTATTAACAAAAGTAGTGGCGGCAGTTGAGCTTTCTGTTACCCGTTTTCAAATTCAGGTCTTAATGTCCTTCCACAGTGTTTCGCCTGATTAATTAATTGACAGTCATTAGCCACAAAAGGGTTTTACGGGCCGAAGTTGAAAGGTCACGGGTCAAAGAAGGAAGTGGGTATAACTCAAGAAACGGCTCTGCGTATCAGCCTTATTGTGGTTGTTGGAGTAGAAACTTCAGTTGAGTTTATGTATTACTGTAATAGTGACAGCCATTTTTTTCCGTACATTCCCCCATAGAGAGTGCTTTGGGTGCTCTCTGAGATATAAGACGTTTTTGTGCCCTCCTCTCACACTGTGTGTATGTTATGTTATAGAAAATTTAATAAAGTTTTTCTTGTTGTTGTACGGATGTGGCGTCATCTGTGAACGTAGTTATCGTTAATTTACACCAGAGATAATAAATGCTCAATAACAACAATAATGGGGATGGATGGGTTGTGAACCCCCATTAACATGCCCCTTATTCCAAACAATCACCCCACAAAGTTTGATTGAGATTGGCCCAGCGATCTAGGAGTAGTTATATAACGGACAAACAGACAGACAGATTTGTTTGTGCTTTATATTTATATATGGATTCTAGGATTCTATATATTAGGATTCTACACCTAAAAATAATAACTGTCAGATTTTCATTTTCAATATTTTTCTTGAAGATATAGCAGTCTGAGACCACGGGTAATTCGGTCCCCATCACTTTTCCCACTTATAAAGTTTGCCGATGTCACATTTCACAGTTGGCTTTATAAGGACAGAATGCGGCAGGGGTCCTCAGCAGTGCCGAAAATCATGCCAACTTCTCTCCTTACAAAGGAATAAAGCGTAAATCAAACCTTTACCATTCTTACTACTTGAAATAAAATTTACAAAATATGATTGGCCCACTAGTTACAAGACAAAACAATTTCATGTAAGCGTTTTTGATTCTTCAAATTATTTCTCTTTTGATAGGATTAACTGCGATAACGTGACCACTTTCCCCTTTTGAGATGTCCCCTAGTGGGACAGCGGAAACGTTATGGACTTACATCGCTAAAATTCGGGGTTCGATTCCCTGCGGTGAACACAGCAGATATCTCAATGTGGCTTTGCTCTAAAATAATAAACTAACTATTCTTCTGAGATTGGTTAATAAATTTAATTTATCTTCTTAGAAAATATAACTTTTTGTTATGAGCTAATGTTATTTTTAAATAAACAAACAAAAAGCACAATACTAGTTCGATTCCAAACTATTAAACATATTTAATATTTTTACATTACTGACGTAAAAATAGAAGTACTTTCGCCACTTTAGGAAGTATTCCAGAGAGTCAGAGGTAAGTTTATGGACTTCCAACGCTAAAATACAAGTTTCGATTCCCCGTAGTGGACAGAGCACATATAGATTATTGTGCAACTTTGCGCTAGAAGTATAAACAAACAAACAAAGTAGTTTAAGAAAAGTTTCGTTTGTTTCTGTTGTTGGATATTAGTACAAAGCTACTTAAAGGCTGTCTGGGCTAGCCATCCCTAATTTTCAACTCGTAGACTGGAAGGAATGCAGATAGTCAATAACACCTATAGCCGACTCATGGGCTACTCTAATCGAATAGTGAGATTTGACCATTACTCTTATAACGCACACACTACTCCAAAATGCGAAACGAATTTTGTTTTTTACGCCAACATGACCCGAGCCATGACCTTCTCTGAGCTATAGTCTGGCACACAAACTACTAGGCCCAGCCCAGCCCAGAAAAAACAACAACAAAGAAAAGGGTGCAGTATTTCAAACAAATTTATATTTTCATATTTAAACCACCACAACTTCAAGGTAAAGATATTTTGAAGAATCTAAATCTATGAGAACTTCAAGTTAAAGGAAGTTAAAAAAGTCAGACACTGATTTGCCGGAGTTAATTGTTATCATGGACTGTTTTGTTGATTTTTTTTCTCCAAAACGTTGTCTTTAGCAGGAGCTATTTATAGATAAATGTACGATATTATGTTTCAAAAATAAACTAATAACGTTTCTCCATAACTGGTTGAAAAGCTATTTGGTATAGTATTTACAATTTGAACGGCACATTATACGATCCATGGGCTAAACTGCCAGATCAAAGACTCCAAGTTTCAAGGATAGCTAAACCTAATTTAGGGAGGCTGATTACAAGGAGAACAACCAATGACTAGTACACACATCTCTAGAACAACCAATGACTAGTATACACGTCTCCTATGCGAATAAATGATAAATGTATTGAGTCTCAGTTACAAAAATCCTCGGAACTGAAAGTGCAGAATGTATTCGGTGGAATATCGCGGCTCAACCTTTCAGCCGCGGGTGCGTTATAATGTGATGGTCAATCCCAGTATTCATTGGTAAAATAGTCAATCAACAGTTGAAGGTGAATGGTGTTTACTAGCTGTCCTCTCTCTAGTTTGTCATTGGTAAATTAGAGACGGCTACCGCAGATAGCTCTCGAATAGCTTTGCGCGAAATTCAAACCAACCTTTGGACCTTCCGATTCGCAGCGTGGCTAGTTAATCATTACGCAACGTCAACTCCTGAGTTGAAATGGGAAGATAAGCACAGAAAGATATATTAATGTTATTAACTTCGTATCAAAATATCAAGAAATTATATCAATAATTTCTGATTGTGATCACTTTTAGAAAATGTATGATATGGAAGAAACTATCAACTTTGGCAAAAAAATGACAAAAGTGCAACACGAGGAATACGCACTATTCATAAACATGGAAAATGAAAGTCTGGTACAGGAAAACTGAAGACACGCACTATTCATAAACACGGAAAATGAAAGTCTGGTACAGGAAAACTGAAGACACACACTATTCATAAACACGGAAAATGAAAGTCTGGTACAGGAAAACTGAAGACATGCACTATTCATAAACATGGAAAATGAAAGTCTGGTACAGGTAAATTGAAGACACGCACTATTCATAAACAAGGGAAATGAAAGTCTGGTACAGGAAACTGAAGACATGCACTAGTCATAAACATGGCCTGTACCAGACTTTCATTTTAAAACTGAAGACACGCACTATTCATAAACATGGAAAATGAAAGTCTGGTACAGGAAAATTGAAGACACGCACTATTCATAAACATGGAAAATGAAAGTCTGGTACAGGAAAATTGAAGACACGCATTATTCATAAACATGGAAAATGAAAGTCTGGTACAGGAAAACTGAAAACACGCACTATTCATAAACATGGAAAATGAAAGTCTGGTACAGGAAAATTGAAGACACGCACTATTCATAAACATGGAAAATGAAAGTCTGGTACAGGAAAATTGAAAACACGCACTATTCATAAACATGGAAAATGAAAGTCTGGTACAGGAAAACTGAAAACACGCACTATTCATAAACATGGAAAATGAAAGTCTGGTACAGGAAAATTGAAGACACGTACCTTTTGTATCAGAAGTAAGGAGATGAACCAAGATAAAAGCCAAGACATTGTATTTGTTAAGAAATCTTAGTGCTCCTTAAATATGTGATGGAGCCCAAATCATTGGAAATACTTAAGCTGCATAGCTGTCTTGCAGCAGTTTCAGTTGAGATTTGATCATCAGCCTTCTTCAGATTATCCGTTCTTCTGGTCAATATGTAATCCTCAAGTGTGGTTAGAAAAAAAGAAATATTAAAAGTCTTTAGAAAACACTATTAAATATTAAAATGCAACAACTTTTTATTTAAATACAATAAAATATCGGCGATACGTCAAGAACAAACGTTTGGGATTCAAATACTGGAAATTACTTCAGTGATTAAAGTTACTTTAAGTTGACTTTAACGATTATGAGTTTACGTTACTTTACAACAGCAAATTATTTTCTAAAGTCACGTCATTATTATGAAACCATACTGAAAGTTTTAAAAGTATCGAAAAGGGACACTTTAACGTCCCGAAAAAAAAAATCAGAGAACATTTACGCGTGCTTTCCTGAAGATGGCAGAATCGTCCAGGAAAACCAACGCCTTCACTGTGACGATAAAAGCAAAGTTCTCCATTCCAAATATTTGCTAAAAATCAATTTCATATTTTACAGTTAAGTGAGAGTAACTTTCAAGCGGAGCAAAACTAATAAATTAACAAGTCAACAATAAGTTAGATTCTAACCATTCTATTCGACAGGTGTGGTTAAAAACAATAATAAAAAACAGCTCCATCTGGCGACGTATTAATAAGTCATGTTAGATTCTAACCATTTTGATTGACAGATGAGGGGAGAGTTAGAAGAAAAGTCAGCGCCCTCTATTGAAGCTACTAAAGTGGTTTGGGCAAATAAAGATTCATTTGAATCGAAGAGTTTCACCGCTACTACGCGTTATCTTTTTCAGAGTCTCTGAATCACAACGTACTTTATTATTCACAGAATTTAAAACTTGTTCTCTCTCCATTTTCAGAGCCTTTGAATCATTAATTTCTATCTTTTTCTCCAGAGCCTCTGAAAAAACAAAAAACAAAAAAATAACAACAATACTTGCTATAATTTTAGGAGAATTTAACTAGCAATTCCACTTCTTTTTTTGATCAGAGTCACTCACTTGCTTCACTCATTTTGGTAAGTTTATTGATCAGTCCTCACTGACTTGATGAAGGTAGAATGTGTGCGTGTTGTGTGAAAGTGCTGTCGCTGGGCTAATCCTGTCAAGTTTTGATAAAGCATCGCAATATTGTAGACTAAGCTTCCATGAGTGGAATTATAAATACAAGTTATCCTCTGTGCATCATGCAGTATGTATAACGACTACTGTCTATTAATTAGAGAACGGGGACAACAGCAACCGGAAATGGGGCGAGATATATTTCCGGTCCAGAATATTACATCTGAGCATATTTCACAGAAGCAATTTTTTTAGTGATTAAAGGAAGTGTCCAAATAATGGGAGATGAGATAAGAGCTCAAATACAGCCCAGAATAAGTATTGATTTACATGCTTTTAGCAGGGATCACTGATCGTCAAGAGAGTCCACTTAAACGCTTCCTAAGTTGACATTTAACATTTTACTGCATGACAGATCATGCATCCTCTCTCCTGAAGAGAGATGACGTAAACATCAATGAGTATGCAGTGCAAATTTCAAAAATTCCCTCATAAAACATTTGATGTACGAAAACACTACTAGCAGTAACCTGATGTGTGTGTGTGTGCCTCTCATCTGTTAAGATGAAATTTCAGACCTAACATCGTGAGTGGATCGGTCTATGATTGTGGAAGAATGGGTAACAATTGTGTGCATTTATCTCTGAGCTTATTGAGTGTAGAGTGTTTCATAATGACATTTTATATTTTTTTGTTTTCGAATTTTCACGCAAACCTACACGGCTGTTTTTAATTTGTAAACATAATCTAAAGGGACGGCAATCAGTCAACAGCACTTACCGTTCACTCTTGGGCTTTCTTGTCTGACCAAACAGTGGGATGTGATCGTCGCTCTAATAAAGCACTCATGGCCCCAAGGTACGAAGCACGATTTTGTGGGTACGAGACATACAATCAACTTTCAGGTTCACAGTATGGACACGCTACGCTAGGCCTGGTCCGAACTTCCATAACTACAGAGTGCGAGTGCAAGAAATAGCTGGTACTCGGTGTTACTCGTGGTGTTACACAACGATTGTTTGCGAAGTACGTTAGTTCTTTGGAAGTATGTTGGCCAGGTTTCGGTTTACCTATCTAGTCCTTGTTAAAGTACATCACGTAATTAGCCATAAAATTTAAAATGTGTGTAAAAAACAAGAACTGGGAAATGTCTTGGTTAGATAGCTAACACTTATCTCTAATTTTGAATGCTTTACAGCAATGTTTTTGTTATTCGCGCAGTCACCCTTATAATATGCATGAAAGCTTTGTTTCAATCTGTCCACGGCGATCACTCTTTGTCGCCCCCCCCCCCCAGTGGCACAGCGGAATATCTGCGGACTTACAACACTAGAATCCGGGTTTCGATACCTGTGGTAGGCAGATAGCCCATTGTGTAGCTTTGTGCTTAATTACAAACAAACAAACACTCTTTCTCTGAGGTAACATATGCAACCTATCCATGAAAAGAATAATACTGAAGTCAGTATTAACTTCTTGTTTTGTTTATATAAGTGTTTCAAAGTACAGTGTAGATATTGTTACGTCTCTGTTTGTTAATTGA